GTAAGACGCTTGAGGATCATTTCGCTGTCAACAGCTCATCGTGGAGCTGCTGGTAAAGGGACGACAACTTTCCATGAAAGTTGACTCTGGAGCACCGCATTCAATATTGAGCTCCGATTTCTTAGAACGCCTTTGGCAAGGGTGAGAAGCTACAAGTTAACGAACAGTTCAAGGACCAAAGGGCTAGTCTGGACCTTTACATCAAATCCCCACAAGGGAGCAAGCCATCTCGGTCTGGATTGGTTTCCCGCGCTGGACATCAAGGTTTTGGGAGTAAACACCATGTCAGCAACAACTTTTGAGAAACTTCTTCCACTCCACGAGCAAGTGTTTTCGGGACAACTTGACGGGCATGTCTTCGAACCGTTGCTCATCGACCTGAAAGATGACGCAGAACCAAAATTTCTGAAGTGTCGACCAGTTCCCTTTGCCCTGCGTTGCGCAGTACAGGAAGACATGAAGAAGCTTCAAGCACAAAACATCCTGGAGCCTATAAATTCGTCCTCGCGGGCAACACCCCTAGTCATCATTCGCAAGAAGAAGTGCACGCTATGGATGTGTGAAGGTTATCGGTGCACAACCAACCCTGCACTCAAGCCAAACGCGTATCCGCTTCCCACCGGCGCCGGACTCGTTTCCTTTGTTCGAGGAGGGAACATTTTCTTCTAGATCTGCAACAAGCATACCCGCAACTCCGAGTCAACGATGCCACCGCAGGACTTTTGAACGTGACGACAACGATGCGGCTTCCGCGTTAAGCGAGTGCTTTTCGGAATTGCGGTTGCAGCACTGCTCTTTTAACACTTTATGGATACACTGTTGGCAGGAATCGAGGGCACAGGAGCATACCTTGATGACATCATGGTCACAGGGGCGACAAAAAAACACCTACAGCGTTTGGAAGTCGCTCTTCAACGTCTTCGAAAAACCAGACTTCGCGTTTCCCAAGAAAAATGCAAATTCAGTGTTTCGGAGGAAGAATTTCTAGGTTATCACTTCGATGCCCACGGCGTCAGACCAAGAACCGAAAAAATCAAAGCCATCATTGAAACTGCTGAACTCAGCAACAAAACGTGGTCCAGGCTTTTCTTTTTAATAGCGAGCTTCTACAGTTGGTTTCTGCGGTAGAGCATCCAATGTAGAAAGGCTATATCGACGCCTAGACAAAAAATTGCGGTGGCTTAGTTCGGTTATGCCAGGATATACGTAGCGTGAGCTTATGCGCAATGAGAGGCGCTACCAAGCCACTCCGGTGCAGCGTCAGACTTGGCTATGCGCAACGGTGGCACACAGCTGGGCACGCGGCGGCGCCAGTGCGTCTGCCGCGGCTATGACGTCACTCCTCTAAAATGCGCAGACTGAGGCATGAGCGGCGGCGGCGGCTCCGGCGCGCCAACTGTGCGCCGTGTGACGTCACTGGCCTTCGCGCTTGCGCAGCACGGCTCTTTGGGAGCCACGCAAAACTGCTCAACCTCGGCCAATGTAGCTCACGCTACAAAACACGAAATGGCATTAGGGCGAGGAAGAGTGAGATGCTTTCAAACAGCTGAAGATGCTTCTAGGCTCAGAACCAGGGCTGGCACAATATGATGACAAGCGACGACTAGTTTTGGCTTGCGACGCATCGCTACGGCATTGGGGCTGCCTGTCACAGATGAACGATAATGGAGCAGAAGTTCCTGTTGCCTACGCATCAAGAACACTCTGCAAAAGTGAGAGGAACTATGCCCAACTGGACAATGAAGGACTAGCCATCACTGACATGAAACACTTCCACCAGTACATCGCTGAACGACATGTTACTGTGTAAACTGATGATAAACTTTTACTGGAAATAATGAGTCAAGATAGAAAGATCCCGGCAATGCTCTCAGCTCGCACGACCCGGTGGTGCCTTCTACTTGGCTGCTACATCTGCCATTAGCGCTGTCGTCAAGGCAAGGAGCACCAAAACGCCGACGCGCTCAGTCGTCAGCTTTTTTCCAAATGTGACGGACGAACCGGTACCTCGAGGAGGTGTGCTCCCACTTGAAGCTAAGGAGTGCCCACCTCTTACAGGCCAGCTGATTGCACACCTGTCTAAAGAGAACCCGACTCTGTCGAAAGTCTATCAAGGACTGCAAGACGGTTCTAACGCAACTTGGAAAAGAGATGAGTTTTCACCATACAAACGGCCAGACCTCGAACCGGCAACCCAGAATGGCTGTCTAACGTGGGGAGCACGGGTTGTCGTACCACAAGCGGCACGCGAGGAAGCGCTGAAGATACTGCTTGCCAACCGCCCCTGTATCTTGGCGATGAAGGGCACTGCCCGTAGCCATTTCCGGTGGCCGAAACTTGACTCGGACATAGAAGCAACTGCGGCTGCGTGTGAGACGTGCCAGAAACATCAGCGAGCAAACCTGCAGTTCCGACACCTAACTGGTCACCTTCCACTCGATCTTGGGAAACCATACACATAGACTTGAGTGGAGCAATCGAGGAACTATTGTACCTAATTATCGTTGATGTTTGCTTAAACTAAGTGGCTCGAAGTGTGTCGACCTGACATGCATCATTGATGCGCTACGATCGGTATTTGCTACTTTTGACGTGCCGAGAATGTTATTATTTGCCAACGCACCAAATTTGGTTTCGCACAAAATGGATAAGATAAAAAAAAAAACATACAACACTCTATCAGCGCACCATACCACCCAGCAACTAACAGGCAAGCAGAAGAGATGGTGGGCGAAACGAAGAGAGCACTCTTCAAGCTCACTGAAGGTACAGTTTAGTGCCGAATCGCGAGGTTCCTATTTCATCAACACACAACGGTTTTATCTACCACGGGGAAAACCCCTGCGAAAGCAGCGATTGGCCGGTAAATAACCACACCACTGGATCGCATGAATGGGTAGCCTTGGCTTCAAGTAAGAATTGGGAAATTCCGAGAGACAGAGAAACAGCTGAATGTTCTGCAGGGCAACCCGTCTACGTCAAACATATCATGAAAGGCCGGCATGGGTTCCAGCAACAATTTTAAATCAGTTAGGACTTCGATTCTTTCTAACTAGAACAGGGGACAGGAAACTACAGCGACCAGACAGAGACCATATACGCCACCGCCAACTCAACAAGGAAGGAGGTACATCTTCGTTCCTAATATAACCAGACGCCGAAATGCAAAAGCAAGGAAGCGAAGACATATCAGTTACAGGAGAGTCGGAGGCATATGTAAGCGACAGAGCCAACTTGGGCACCATTGACGACACCGCGGACATCCAGGCGGACTCCAGTCCAACAATAAGATGCAGCTGAAGTACCAAGCTGCCAGCACATTTGAAGGATTAGGATCTTCGCATTAACCTAGAAGGATAAATGATATGTATTGCTGCTAGTCGGCGATGAAGAAGAAAATAGCTACAAGCGAGCTCCGAGCACAAGAGCGCGCGTGACGTGAGTAATTCATACTACCGTCGCCATAAGCAGTGTCAGACTTCTTTGTTTTTGCAAATAAACACGACTCTTTAATGAAAAGAATGTACTAGAGACAGCTTTTTTCCTAAGAAACACACTTAACTCGCCTTCATCTAACCTCCAGAATCCCGAATATCGTAATAAGGCTTTAATTTGGTGCACGGAGGCTGCAAAAATTTATTTTCAAAGTACCTCTCAAGGCCATCTTTCCCTGAGCGTGATGTCATATCCGGAGTTTCCGAAATCTCCGCTCTCGCGTACGTTCAGCGCCTATCAAAGCTTTGCACGGGCACTCTTGCTATTTTCAAAGAGTTTAAGAAAACACGTCACGACTGGTGGCCGTGCGGGATAATATATCTGGCAAGCGTGCAATTGCACCTCCTGCCCAAACAAGCGACACACGCTTGGCGGCCAAAAAATCTGAGTGTGACGAGACAAAGCTGGTCGGAGGTTCTTCGTTTTTGCTCCCGTTTAGTTACATCCTTGAAAAAAAAAAAAAAAAAGAACGAACGTGGTATTCAAATTTACGGTATAAAATTATTCTAGAATTCATCTCTAACTCATTTTAGAGCGCAGCTCTTAGGCGCCCGTTTACGGCTTGAGCGGCGTCGTTGTCGCCGTCACCGTCGCCGTCGCCGTCAGCGTAACCGCGAAACACCTCCCCCCCCTCCCCTTCCCCCCGAGGACCTCGGGAGGACCTCGGGATGACCTCGGGTTCCTTCGGGAGGACCTCGGAAGGACCTCGGGTACCTTCGGTGACATCGGTAAGGGGAGGGGGTCACGTGACCCTCCCCACCCCTGAGGTCACGTGACCCCCCCGCCGAGGTCGCGTGACCTCCCCCCAAGTCAAGTAACCCTCCCCCCCAAGGAAGCTTGGCCGGCTTTGAACCAGAGACCTTTCGTGCAGCAGCCCGACGCCGTACATGTCCGCCAATTTTAAATTAATTCGTTCATTCATTAGGAGGGGGAGGAGGGAAGAGGAGGAGGGGATGAGGGGAGGAGATTGAAAGATGAGGGCAGGAGGAGGAGGTGAAGGAGAAGGACGGGGAGGAGGAGGAGGGAAGGAGATTGAAGGATGAGGAGAAGGAGGAGGAGGAGGCGTATACCCTTCCCTCAGTACCCTTCCCTCCTCCTCCCGAAGAGCTGCGCTCTGATTCGGCGTTGCAGGGAATTGTAAACGGCTTTCATTTTTTTTTTTTCAAGAACCTCTTTGCTTTAAGAGTCTCGGCAGGGACAATACATAAGTGGGGGAATCCTTGCCAAATTTTGAAGGGTGGTGGAAAATGATTGTGTGTAGTCTATACGCAACAGGGTATGCAGCGTCACGGCCGTAGCCTCAGTTCAATATACAGGACGCGACGAGAGAACGGTAATTTGTGATGGGTATTTTGAGCTTGCCCGCATGTCATACTTTGCTTTGAAATATGTCACAAGTTTGAATGTTCGTTATTTTTTTCCCAGAAAAACGTTCACGGAAGCCGATAGGCACCTATCAACTTAAAGTATCTTTAATATCTGAAAGGATAATGCAAAGGGCTTACAGGCTGATGAGCGCTTCGGCGAACAGTGCGTCCCAATACTTGACGATAAACTCCAAACTGATGACTTTGAGGATGCTCGTTCCCTCGATGGTATCGATTCGGAAAATATCAGAATGCATTCCCTCGGCTATCTTGACAGACCCTTGGGGAGCATTCCTGTCAGTCGAATAACAAAACAGTTATAGACAAAAAAAAATTTGCCGTGCCGACAGAAGAAAAGTACTCCTGATGGATAAAACGCGAAATACAGTAAAAAATAAAGTTAATAAAATGACGGATCAACCATACGAAGTTTTCGTTATTGAAATGAACAATGTATCAAGAAATACACCCTGCAGATTCTTGTTCAACTCATAGTGAGTCGTTTGCTAAAATGAGCAATATAAATTGCGAATTTCCTTTCATTTTCATTTCATGTTTTTTTTTCATATTTGTATAAATTTAGTGATTTTATATAACACTCTGAATGTAAAACTCGGTGCCCTGTTATGTAATAAAGTATCGATCCTCAGACTCGGTCTTCCTACTGAAATCCGATGTGAAGTTTTTGCCCTTAAATGCCAAACAATGTTTCATCGAATGAAATTATTTTTTAAAACTTGCTACATGGTTATTACTTCATTGATATTCATAAATACGTTTCATATCCAAACTTCAATACCTTAACGAAAACGGGAACGTAACAAATTTATAGCACCTTATGGCTTTAACACAGACTCTTTAAACACATTTTTTGTTAAGTGTGACGATCATTGGAACTGCCTAACCACCGATGCTGTAAAATAGTCAAAATGCGTGAGTTTTCTTGATAGCATTTTTAATACTTAAATGTGCTTGTATTTTGAGAATGCTTACCAACCTGCTTTGGCAGTATGCTAAGGGGACATGCACTACGGGAAAACATTTGTTTTTTAACGTTTACGACAACTGAATTAAATTGTTACTGTTTACAGTCCTAGATTTTTTTGATTTTTATAAATTTAGTGTTGCTTTGATACAGCAGTTTTTTATGTTTGGAGATATGCGCATGCAGAAAAAAAAACACGTTCTCACGCACACGTGGGGAATGGAAAAAGACTTAAAACAGCCTAGAAAAGTAAGATAAGTCACTCCTTTTAAACAACTAAGCGCTATGAACCACGAAAAGAATGTGCGAGACGAATTGTATGTGAATAATTGAGAATCACAAAACGCAATTTTAAAAAGGGCTAACAAAGATTCTTGTGGAAATGGAGCGTGCTGGTTAAGTTACGGTGTTTGTGGAGAATAACATAGAGGACGAAAACAGGACGACACGTTTCTCCAGAGAAACGTGTCGTCCTGTTTTCGTCCTCTATGTTATTCTCCACAAACACCGAAAGATTCTTAAATTTTTCATAAATATGAAATAGTACGCATTCTAAACAAACTTTTATAGTTAAATTCTGCATAGTCCAAAGCATATGCATGTCAACTTTGGTTGCGATGGGACAATATTAAGAACAAAAATTCCTCTGTGAAACTGTGAACACGTTCCAAAAACACACGAAGAGAAAACCGCGTTTGAGTAGTACCATAGACGTGTGGCAGCACACGTTCGCGGCAAGAAAAAAATATTTGTTTACTGTTTTTTATGTGAAAACTTGGAGGTAAAGGTGACTGCGATGTAGAGGAGACAGCTAGACCTACTCCTAACATAAACGTGATAACAAACAATGTCACAAAAAAAAAAAAAAAAAAAAAAAACGCGCACGCAAAGACGGCCTAAATTTAGGCTCTTGGTTGCCGGGAGTTCTTCACTTGCCTATTTGACTAATTTCAAGATAATTACCGGTCTGCATTATTTTTATATTTAAAATATGAAGATTAATATATATTAGAAACACCATAAAATCCAAAATCATATTTTTTGAAAAATATTACCGTTTTTCGACGGCACGTTTTAAAACAAATAGATAAATGAAGATTTGGCGCTGCAAAGTTTTCTGTTAAACAAAGTTTAGAAATTGAGCTGGACCGTTGAGTGCCCTACCAGGAAATATTATACGTATTAGCAAGAAAAAAAAGACAATCTAAAAATCAATGTCTTAATAAAAAAATAATAAGAAACAACTCGTGCACACATAGTTTTCGTTGCGCATTTTTGACGTACTGTCACACCACAACACCGTGTTACAATGAAGGCGCGCTTTTTAGAAGTATATTTGCCTCTCTTTAACAAATATCTAGAGAAACATGACCTTCCCGCTTGAAACAGAAGCACAGTTCTCCAGTTCACTGGCGTAGCCAAGAATATTTGCGGGAGGAGGGAGTTTGGAGAGGCTAGAATGGCTGGGGGAAGAAAGGGTTGGGATCTATGCATATGCATATAAGGTCTACTTCATTTCCCATCTCGGGACGGGAGGCTGAGGAGCTCCTCCTCCCCTGGTTACGCCCCTGCTCCCGATGTCATCCCAGCCATATCACGTTTCTGAGTCTCAGAGAGAAACTGCTGACATGCCGAAATGATTGCTGCAACACAATACCTCGCGATCCTGGCGCTTATGCGAACTTTCCACGAATCATCGGCGAGGTTTTACAATGCGAGCTTCGAGTAACGCGAGTAATTAAAATGCTCACAGCGAATCCATGACGTCGGCGAAAGTCAGAGGTCTCGTCTGACCCGTAATGGCCATCATGTCTCCAAACATGCGATCGGTTTCGTCGAAACGACGCGGAGCCGGAGTTTCTGAAGTTGACTGGGCGGTGTCTGATCCCCCGTCGGTCGAATCATCACTCTGAAATGCAAAGGATCATGTCTCATTTTTTCTCCGCGCTGCATCGGAAGCCTGGTTAACCAGACGGTGACGTGCTCAGTGTGGCACAAAGATAATTTGATTTCCACTCTCATGGTGATTCTTCCTTCACACTGGATTATGGTAAACTTGATTTGAGCTAGTTCTTTTATAGTAACCAAGTGTAAGGTTTCACTACCAAGGAAGAAAAGAGGGCGAGTTAGAAAAAGACTGCAATTCATAGCAACAATGTACTATAATCACTGACAGCATCAGAATCCAGACGGTGTGGCTTATTAAGTTATTATGTTCACGTTTTTTTCTTCGTTATTTTTTTTTCGGTATTTTTATCTGCTAGTGCAACAATCTCATTGTCTGTATAACGGTAATGAGATGATCGGGGCTCTTCACGACCTGTCTTTCTTAAGTTGGCAGGGACCATATTTAATATTAGGTTATAATCTAACGTCTAACGGTTTCAAGTATTAAGGGTCATAGTTATTGCAACAATGGTAAAACAAATGTTGTGTCCGACAAGGAGAGTAAGTAATACGATCTATTGCTGAAAAATATAAACTATAAACCTTGCAAATATTAAATGTTACGATGTTTATTTTACTGTTATCTAAAAGATGGTCTAAAATGGCGCTCACTCTAATGATCTTATTCGTGCATTCAGGAAGAAATCATTGTCGACACATTCTCCCGTTTGTCTGCTTTTAAATGCGCAAATCGTATAATCATGCACATTCCTTCTGATCTTGGCTGTTCAGTTCAGTTCAGTTTATTGTACCTCAAAGATATTTCAGATGAAATGCATTGAATGAGGGGGGATCAAATGACATATACAGATGGCAAAAAAGTGACAAGGTAAATAATAGGAAAACGCAAAAAGAAAACAAAAAAAACTACAAACCAATAGAACAGATATCAGAAGATAACATGTGGAAAAAGTAATTAACAGATAAACATGTTAAGAATCAACGCTTTTCAGGTGTGCCTTGCATAGTTCACGGAATGTCTTAGGGCTGTCTTTTGGATTTAATAATAACTGACATCTTAAGTAAAATGGCGTGACGACGAGTGGGGAGCATATAATTATCGCACCTTAGCCAATGAGATTGTGTCATTAGTTAGTAAAAACTTCCATGGACGAACCACGAGTCAAGGAGCACGGGTACCTTCAGCTGTCAGTGCGTAAAACATTCAAACACCACGTTTTCCCAACTAGGACTGAAAATTTTAAGGGTCTCTTATGTTATTCCTTAGACGACTTGAAGGCGAAAGCCCATGCTCCGATACATTAAAGACAAACCCCTCCTAATGTGCTGAGTTATTCTTCTTATTTTTCTGAGTCATCCTTCTAAATGCGCTGAGTCATCCTCTTAATTCCCTTAGTCATCCACTTAATGCGCCTAATCATCAACTTAATTCGCTTTAATTCCTCTTAATTCACTTCAATTCCTCTTACTTAGCTTTGTCGTCTTTCTTAATTTGCTTTGATTACTCTTGCATCTCCTTAATTTTTTTTTAATTCACTTGGATTCCTCTTAATTCGTTTTATAGTCCTTAATTTCCATTGATTACTGTCACTTTCTTTATTTACTTTTAATTCACTTGAATTCCTCTTAATTCATTTTGATTCCTCTTAATTCGCTTTGTCATCCCTCTTAATTGCATTGCCTCCAATTCGCCTGAGTAGTCTCGAACACGTTTTGATACCTTTCGTGTCATCAACGTGTTTTCGCTCAAGGACTTTAAAGGTCGACTATATTATGAGACATATAAGGCTTTCGCCTTAGTTCATATTGTTTATATTGACAGGGAGATAGAGCGGCAGCTCTCTCTTCCTGTTAAAACTGACTTCCCTGAATTAATATTGCGCCTGTTTCCCCATGTCACGTGGTCCAGCTGTTGAACGAGCTCAGCTGAAACTGCATCGGTCTGCTTCATTACTGTTGGCGTATTTACTAAGCGGACGCTTTGGAAAATCGCAAAGTGTGGAATTTTCCGTGTCTGAATAGCGGAAGACTAAAACATACAATTCCTTAACTAAGCTCGGCCCCCTCACTCTTGCATCGCTGTCCTCCAAACGTAGTTGAAACTATAATTTTCCACGCTGCATAATTCATGAAACTAAGGACTGCTGACACCGGCTTTGAACAATTTGTGTCCTCAGTGTCTGCTGACGCAATCGAGTAAGATATGGTAACAGCTTTCCCGGGAAAAAAACATAAAAAAATATCCACACAGATACCCACTGTTCGCTGCTAAAGAAACGATAAAGATCGCCAGTACCGCACTAAAAAACCCCAAAAGCCCGAAGAAATACGGAGCGCAAGCATTAGATTATCGTGTTTTTTTAGAGTCTACCATGAAAAGATCTCCAAGCGTTAGTGTCTGCTAAGATTGCTTTCGAACTTTCGATTTACTTTATTAGTTTTGTTCCTTCTTTCCATCTACAGAAAAAGGTAGGACGGTGTCCATGCATATTCAGTAGGCTTCTTTTCACACAGTCATACCATTGGGTTGGCATTTATCTACTTTTCTTACCTGATCGAATGCCTCACATTTGAGGTCCAAGTTGCTGAATGGTCATGATTAAAGGGCCACTGACAGCTTCAACCTTAATACTTTGCGATCTCAAATTCAGTAGGATGTCGCAATAAATTCCCACTAAAAAAGTGCGACGCAAAAAAAGAAAAAAAGTTTCTCGAGTGCGAAAGAGTGTCAATCATCCACATCCCCCTCCCCCTTCTCCTAAACCGGGCTCTTCCTTTTTTTTCCTTTTTTCTTTTTAAGTGAACTTAAATGCAAAGTTTCTCTTTTCTCTTTTCTTCAGAACTTTAGAGGTGGCCCAATTCGGATGTGTGTAATAACTATTGATGACAGCCATCAATTATGTTTTTTTTTCTTTTTCCCGACGAATGCGAACACTCTACGCCGTTGACTTTAACGAACAAAGAACTCAGAGCCAAAAAGTATGATTGGCGAGGCACCCTCCGTTCCCTCGTTCTTCCCTCGTTACTCTGAATATGGTGATGCCCGAAGATAATGCGAAATTTATTTCTGCGGTAAAAAACAAAACAAAAAAAAACGAAAAAAAACGTACACAAAGAACATGTTTGTCTTTACTTCCAATCACTTGGTATGATATGACTACAATAACGGAGCGTAAAGCTGCCGAGAATGATGCCAGTTACCAGTCCAGAATTCGGCGACGACGTCGTGCTTGGGATCTTTGGTCACTGACAGGTGTAGAAATGAAGGGTGTGGTCTAACGTGTTTGCGCGTTTTGCTTCGTGATTCGTTCATTGGCGTTCTTATTGTCAAGAGCAGAAATTTCATTAGCCGCAGGGCGATAATGAGATTCTGGGGAATCACCACGTCCTGCATTTCTTCAGCTGCCAGTGACCATGCGGAGAGCAAGTCGTCTGCTTCTCCAGCAGGAGTTGCGGTGACGTCAGAACGACACTGAGCTCTGATTGGCTTATTTTTTTTTTGAAAGGATATTAAAAAAAAAAATCTCAATGCTGGGTGCCTCAAAATCTACCCATTATCTTTTTTTTTTTCCTTTCTTTAAATCCGTAAACAGGAGCTTGGCGTTTTGACATCATCGCAACCCCTGTGCAAGAAGCAGACAAACTTGTGCTCCCCAAGGCCCTAGGGGCAATGACCAGGAGGCGCCTCCATCGGCTGCTATCTTGGTGCGCCTGGGGACCAAAAAGGGTAACTTTGGGAAGGCCAGGCTACGAAACAGTTCGATCAAAGTTCGGCAGGGCGCTCGTATATTCAAGCTCGAGATTGGATCTAATGATGGCGGCCACCGCATGTCGTCTGAGTGTTGCGAAGATTTCGCATAAGGTGGCGCCACCTGCCGAGCCAAACTCTATTGTCCGGGGCGTATGTACGCCAACACTTTGTTTGCAAACAAGCCTTCATTTTACAACCAGTTGTGGGCACTGCGCTTGCGCAGAAACCAGATTCACCCGAGTTGAAGCTTCTGCTAATGCGCCGTATACCGACAGCAGCGCCACCGCAGTGATGTAACGTCAGAGCTGCACGACAATGTACAGAAGATACTCACGTGATCAAGAAGCATGTCAGTCTCCTCGGCGGACCAGGTAACCTCGCTCTCCTCTGACTGGTACACCTTGTAGAAGGCATTGTCCAGCATCGCCTCGTACTTCTTCATGAAGATGGTGTCGGCGTCGCTGCAGTTGGCCCTCCACCAGGACTGGATCTTGGTGGCGGCCAGCTTCCTCTGTCTCTGGTACTCGAGGAAGGCCCGGCGCAAGAGCATCCCCCTTGCCTGAGACTGCAGTCCCACCAGCATGTTTTCAGTCCATCTGATACGATAATGAAAGAAAGTGACGGGTAAAGACTATTGCACACAAACTATTTTGGACTCTGCTAAGCTCCTGTTTGATCCAAAAACCCATTAGCACCACTCAGATGAGGACAGACCTTTCATTAGATATACCTCAGTTCGACTGCCCGAGATGCGCCCAGACAGCGACTAATTCTTTTTCTTTTTATAAGCTAAGCCGTTAGAAGTCTAATGGTATGGCGCTCATGTGTCATGCAGTCTCGTGGCGAGAGGTGTCTAGTCAACACTACCTAATGCAAGACACCAGTGTTGTGGAGTTTCAACAGTGGAGTCGGAATGATTTTTGCACCTCGGTGACCCCGGAATACAAAGGGAACGGAATGGCGGCAGCGCTGGGAGAAATTGGATGCCTTATGTCCAGAATGTTGTGGGAATGGAATGGGGCTAGGGTCATGTACGAGCGGTGTCGATCTTTAGCTAGGGCCTACGACCTGCTGGAGCAACCAAAGGGGCTTTTGAAGCAGTATCATTTCAATTAATGTGATTGACAGCTTGAGTTTTTGATCGGGTGATATGTCTCTACGAAGATAAAAGCGGCTCTTCCAGTGAAGCAGCCGAAACTGAGAAGTTGTGGGCGGTAAAAGTGGACGTTCCTGGTGCCGCAAGATTCGACAATTCGGCTGTTGGAACAAATGTATCCGTCAAGATTTATTTTTCACGCTTAGGAATTATAGAAATGAAATGGAACAATTCAGCCATTCAAGGGGTAGGGATGGTTCCAGGGTTTCATTTACTGGGAGTTGAAAAGAATGGAATTTTCGGAAACTCTAGTTCCTCGGAAGAAAGTCGGAATGGAACGAGGGTGCGTATTCCGCAACATTGCTATACAGAACACTGTCCCGTTTTAAATGCCATGCCATGATACTACGACTCAGCTCGGGCATGGGTAGTACAGTGATGGTCAATAGCAATAGGAACAACACTGCGTCGACCGAACGATACTTAGGGTGCCTCATAGCAGCGGATATGGGCAGCTGCAAGCGACCGGTTCATCTTTTAGAGCGCAGGTCCCTCATTCACACAGCTGGTTCCTCACCCCGTCCCGACGCCAGCTCCGTTGGCGCCGTGCCGGAATCGGGACGGTGCAGGGACGCTGGAGTGTTTGAATCAGCGGCGGCGGAGCTGCCGGCGAGGTGGAGGACGAGAGGAGGAGGGGTGGAGGAGAGGGTACGGAGGAGGGTGAGGGACATACCCTCCTTTTCGTACACTGCCCTCCTCCTCCTTAAGAGTTGCGATCTAATTCGGCATTACAGGAAATTGTAAACGTCTTTCATTTTCTTTTATTCATCATGAAAAACTTTTGCATTGTTGAGTTACTACCAACGCTGCTGCGGGAATATTGCCACTTCTCTATAGGAATATGTGGCACCGGTGTGACTAAATGAGCTGCCACAGGAGCTGCGCATTTCATTGGCTGATTCCGCTTGGTCATTTTATTGAAGCGATTTTAATTCCGTTGAGAAGAGGCGTCGTTCTCTCCAATCATCTATATGCACCGTGACTTGTGCACTGTCAATGCAATCTATATGTTGCAATAAAGAAAATCGTTGGTTAAAACATAAAAAAAAACAAAAAAAAAACGGATTGATATCACTCCCCAGTGCAGATGGCACTGTTCAGTTTTGCGTGCTCTCATTTCCACGTGACCACTGATGACGTTTAGTGTATGAAGTGCAGCTATTCAAGGGTGCGCCTGCTATCAAAACCGCTTGTGCGCGACATGAGTAGCCAAGAGAGAAGAAAATGCCACGGCGAAAATTATTGATAGAAATATCCCTGGAAAAAATGACGCCGAGTTCCACCAGAAAGTTCTGCAGGCTCCTGGCGGTACGCGCTCCGGTGCTTGTATTTTATTTACTATGGCTATACGTCAGACCTTGGCTTGGAATCGGGCTCAATTAGGGCGTCGATCGACGTTTGCACTCGGGCTTAGGCATAAATCGCTGCGTCTTCGTTATCTGACGACGTGCCCTTAATTAGGATAGAGGAGAAAGCAAGCAGCCATGTTAGTCTACGCAGTGTTGGTTCGCTGTTTTTGCAGTGGCAGCGACACATGCGTGTGTTTGCATTGTCGCTCGCTGTTATCATTGACTTTAAATAACACGGAAGTATATATATGTATATATATATATGGCAGACGCTGCCGTTGTCTGAGGCGATCAGTTTTCCCATTGCGTGACTCGTTGAATTTTTGTTTGTTTTCATGAGTACAAGTTTTTTCGCGTTCACCGAGATATTCAAAGGACCTGAAACGACGTAGTTTGCAGTAAACGACTGTCGCAAGTGCAAGCCTTTGGAAGCGCTGTGAGGGAGCTTGTTTCCGTAGAGCGACTGGTTGAAGCCTAGCGTCCTACGCTAACTATTTCGCTCAATCTGGCTTGATTTGTTCGTTTGCGCGTTTGTATGGCGAATGAGTGTGTCGGTTTCGGCAAGAAACCCTCTACTTTGAAAATGGTTGAACACCGTGATTCCGACCACGGTTTCAGTACTGAATAACGCGTTAAAATATGGCACCCAGTGAATCCCTCATTACATAGCTTGCAGGTGTCGCCATTGCTGGGTACTGAGGGTTAATAAGGCGAAAGCCTTATATGTCTAATCGTTCAGTCGACCTTCAAAAGTCCTTGAGGGAAAACTAGGCAGTGACACGAAAGGCGCAGAAACCTGCGACACGAAAGGTACCCAAACCCACGGTTCGACACTGCACCCCGAGATGGCGTTACTTGTGCGAGGTGGAGGCGCTATATTCCCCCAAAACGACTGTTCGCTCTCGTCCCTCGGCTGGCGTCGAACCAGCGACCTTTCGTTCAGTAGTCCGACGCGATACCCCTCCCCCGCGAGAGAAGGGGTACCGCCACATCCGTAAATGACGAGTCTGTCTTTAAAGGTACACTGACACCCCCCCCCCCCCCTCCTCCGCCCTCCCCCCGAAAAATCGTTTTCGCATTTTTCGCCAGACGATTGTATATGATTGTCAGAAGACTACCCAAATAATATTTTGCCACAGAGTCACGTATATTTCTAATAAAACCAGAAAACCACAACTGCTTGAAACCGAACCGAAACCTGCGCACGGAGGTCAGACAAATATAGAGGAGGAGGGAGTGCCGGAAGTGACGTCGCTACACCCCAACGCGCGCTTTTTTTTTCTCACTTTTTTTTTGTATGTGCGCAGCAGACGACATGCGTTGCGGGAACCGTTAGCCGTGCGATTGCTTTGTAGTTATGTTCGTTCCGCTCGCTGTTCTGCACTTCGAGATAAGTAATGCCCGTGGTCGGCTCGGAAAAGAATGCCCCCAAGATGTTTTGTGAAGAGCTTCCTTACAGGTCCTGGGGCACTGTGCGGCAGAGACTGCACACGTTTCCGAAAGATCAACGGAATCGGGACCAATGGCTGATTGCTATTCCTGACAGTTACGGGTACCTCGGTTACGGGTACCTCCCAATTTATATGCTCCTTGCATTTGTGGAAAGTGACTACATTGAGTTCGCAGGCGTCAAAAAGGGAACCCCATACCATTTATTTCAGGTAAGTTTCGTCCACAACATTTTTTAAGTGATAATTATAAAAAAATGCGATGTGTAAATATTGCAAAGTGTTTGAAAAGAAAAAGAAAAAAAAAAACAGTACGCGCACACTCTGGATTGAACCTGGGTCCACTGCGTGCGAAGCGGACAGCTTTCCACTGAGCTACTGGGGGAACTCTTCCGTTCGTAGTAATGCAGCCGGTCGATTGTAAGTCAGGAAGTTTGCTGCCTATTTCTCTCGAGCAAAGGGGCTCCCTAGGCTCGAAGTCGGCCAGCACTACGCATTGGCCATATTCGAACCTAGTAAAGAAATCGTACGCGTGCATATTCAAACCGAAGTACGCACTTCGTGCTTGACGTTGGCGCGAGCGATGTCTTTAGCCACGAGAAGGGGCGACGGCTCGGCAACGTCTTCGTACAAATTGGCTTGGTGGCCAGGCGTGTCGTACGGAATGAATCCCAATTCTTTTGATCAGTTCAAAAATTTTCTTTGAAGAAAGACAGATTCGCCGGTACCGCGAACGACAGTTCTGAAGTAGGGGTCCCACGCCCGTCGTCCTCTGCTATCGCCGTCGAGCCCGCGAGTCACACGATACGCGATACGACGCCATGTTGAGAATAGGGGGTTTTCGTAGACCGCGTTTCCCCCTCCGCTAGGCCCTCCGCAGTGAAGAAGTTGCTACTGCGCCTGTGCGCCGATAGCCTTGACTGTAGAGTTACGGGTACTTAGCGGGTTGCGGAGGGCGTTGCGGGACGGCGAAAACGATCTACGAAAACTCCCTATTAATGCTGTGAACGCCACAGAAGACTTCCAATTCTCTGTGAAATTTTTTTTCAATCACTGTATTTGCAGCTTTTTAAAGCCACAAAAATGGGTTTCATATATTTGTTTTTCTTATATTAAGTGTTTGCTTTCAATGACCCACGACTTTGATTAAATATGGTGGTCGTGTCTAAACCTTCTAAAACAGTCCGTGACCAAGGAGGAGAGAGTGAGCGCGAGACTCAAACCGGCCAGTTCTCGATCGGCGGTTTTCAGACGGAAAGAAACCGAATTTCGAGCCGCAAACTCTGTTCTGGGTAGTTGAGCTCTCATATGTCATGCACAACTAAAAACCTCGGCCAGAATAAATACTCTGTCAGTGTCCTTTTAAGGCATCGGCACTGGGGCTTTCGCCTTCAGGTCATCTTAAGGACAACAAAACAAACCCTCTGAATCCTTTTGCTCACTGGTTACCTCGAGCTCCTACTTCTAAGGTATGAAACTAAGACGGTTGAACAGAACCATAGCCTCCTTCCTCTATACCGATAATGCCTGCCCAATCACCAGGTGCCAGCTACCACCACGAGGGTGCGCCGCTTCACCATACAAGACAGAAAACTCAAACGATGTGAACAAGGTGACTAGTGCGTTCTTGCTTTCAATTGGTG